TCATCTATTTCTACATTAACACTCAAGTTTGGCATATTTGAAGAGAAACATGGTGTCTCTGGTATATCAAGTACTAATTCATCATTCTCATCAGAAGTATACATGGGTTTTCCTTGTAGAACCACTCGACCATCCTTTGTTAGCGGGATCGGTGACATAAAACACTTGTTTTGCCCGAGATGCCATGATAAATGGTTCTTCGGTATAACGAGTATTTTCAAGGTTAACCAAGGTAAATCCAAGATCATCGGTGAAGATGCCAGTATTAAAATCAACCCACTTACATTTAAAAATAGGTACTCTGAATATCGTGTAATCTATTACCCAAATCTCTTCAATTACACCAAAGTAGCCCATTGACGCCCTTATCGGATATTTATCCTTTGAACTCGAGAAATGCATTGATTCAACCACCACCATGACTCCACTATTTTGCATTGTGCTTATTTCATCTTCTCCCTTTGTATAAAATGAATAGTTATTTATATCATACCCACCCCAACATATCACATCAAAGTTTGGCTCACATGCTAGCCACTTTAGTGTATCGAAGCTGTATTGTCACCTTCAACTTGTTGTTTAAACCACTTCAAAAAGCTCTTGTTGTGTTCGGTGATCACCCACTTTTTAGGCATACGTGGATTATTTCGCTTCACAATGTCTTTATGAGTACTTAAGTAGGGGATGACTTCTTCACTCGTTATTCAATATGTACAAATGCGCTTGAAGTACTTCATCTCGACACATTGTCACAACTTTTGCACCTCGAGTTCCTCTACCAAGACCTATTCCATGGTAACGAGTCTTAGGTAACCCTATAGCTTCAACTTCGATAAGTATTGTGTGCAAAACTCAATAGCTTCCTCTCGCAATATATCTTTGAACAATTGATGCTTCAGGACGATATTGGTTCTTCACATACCCTTTTAATATCTTCATGTATCGCTCAATAGGGTACATCCATCGTAAGAAAACTGGACCACAGATTCTAACTTCCCTGGCTAGATGAACAATCAAGTGAACCATAATATCAAAAAATGATGGAGGAAAGTACATCTCAAATTGACACAATATGACTGCAGCCTCATTCTCTAACTGATCCAAAACATCCGGGTCCATAACTTTACTACATATGGCATTAAAAAAAAAGCATAATCGAGTTAAGGAATATCTAACATTCTCTGGTAAGATACCTCGAATAGCCACAGGTAGAAGTTGTTGCATCAATACATGACAATCATGAGATTTTAACCCAAGCAATTTTAGATCTTTCATAGATACAAGTCTCTTCACATTGGAAGAGTAACCAAATGGAACCTTCACACCTCGTAAAAACTCACAAAAACTTCTTTTCTCTTTTTTAGACAGTGTGTGACATGCTGGAGGAAAGTATGTTCGGTTACCATGAGGTTGAGGAGCTAATTGTTCTCTTATACCCATTTCAACCATGTCCAAACGAGCATTGACACCATCTTTTATTTTTCCTTGAATGTTAAGGAGTGTTCCGATGATACTGTCACACACATTTTTCTCTACATGCATGACATCTATACAATGCCTCACATCAAGAACCCTCCAATATGGAAGAACAAAAAGGATTGACATTTTCTTCCATATACCTGTGGCTTTCTTTTGCGTCTTTCCAAACTCACACGAAATCGCACTTACTTGTTGATATACTTGTTCCCCACTTAAAGGTGTTGGGGCTGCATCATTTTCTTGACACCCGTTAAATGATTTTTTTAATTTACGATATGAATGGTTTGAAGGAAGAAATCTTCGGTGTCCAAGGTACACTGTTTTCCTTCCATGTTATAGTTGATAGTGACATGTGTCTTCTTCACATATCAGGCAAGCTTTATGTCCCTTTGTGCTGTAGCCACTCAAATTACAATATGCTGGAAAGTCATTAATTGTACAAAATAACATTGCACGCAACTTGAATAAGTCACCTGTGTACCCATCAAACACATCAACACCTTCCTCCCACAACATCTTCAACTCTTCAACCAATGGGCTTAAAAAAAACATCAATGTCATTTCCAGGTTGTCTGGGACCCGAGATCATCAAAGATAGCATCAAGTACTTACGTTTCATACACAACCACGGAGGTAAGTTGTAAATAACTAACACCACAGGCCATGAACTATGTTTACTTGCTTAAATTTCCATATGGATTCATTCCATCTCGTAGCAAGTCCAAACCTAATGTTTCTTGGATCATTACCAAAATTCCGGAAGATGGAATCAATTTTTTTCCATTGCAATCCATCTCGTCGGATGCCTTAACTCGACCATCTTTAATACGACTATCTCGCATGCCATCTAGTGAGCTTTGCATCATTTCCATTAGTGAATAATCGTTTCAACCTTGGAACAATGGGAAGATACCATAACACTTTTGCCTGGGTACCCTTCATTACATCATTGTCAGAATCACCATCCTTCTTCTTGTATCGTGATTCCTCGCATTATGGACATTCGTGACAGTTCTCAAATTCTTTCCTGTACAACACACAATCATTCGGACATGCATGAATTTTGTGGTACTCCATACCCATTGGACACAATATCTTTTTAGCATCATAATTGCGGGTTGGCAATGTGTTACCTTCAGGGAGCATGTCACTCAACAACTCAAGCAATTCTGTGAAACTTTTATCAGTTCACCCATTCTTTGCCTTCACATTGAACAATTTTAGTACTGCCGACAATCGTGTGAACTTAGTACAATTTGTATACAAAGGCTCTTTTGCATCATTGGACAACTTCTCGTACACATGTGTATGTTGGAAGGCATCTTGTCCAAGCTCACGAATCATTTCCTCCAGCTGATCATCCATCTCTAGATCAACTTCTTCTTTGTCTTCTACACTTGGCATGTTTAATAATTCACCATGCCATGTCCACTTTATGTAACTCTTTAGGAAACCATCACAAAGAACATGTTCCCGAATAACTTCAGTCGGTAATCTTCGCTCATTCAAGCAGTTAACACAAGGGCAATAGAATCTTCCATCATTATCCGGAATATTCATCTTAGCAAATTCAAGGAATTGTTCTACTCCACTCTCATATTCATTTGTTGTTCGTCTATAATTGATCCAACTCCGATCCATTGTTACAAATCTAATTTTCAAAATCAAATTAGCTACAGAAACACGAAATAACTACATTATAATGCCTACACGAAATCCAACTCCACTCTCAAAATAACTACATTATAATACAAATCTAATTTTCAAAATCAAAATCACGAAAGAATGCCTACAGAAACACATTCAAATGACTAAACTACTTACAATACATCTCTAAATTAGCTAAAGGCACCCGTGATGTTTCCCTCTCTTGACAACATTATTACTTACCAGATTCAATACTGTAAACCTACAATGGCTAAAGCAAGCACGAAAACTTACCTCTTGAAGACCTACAGAGGTGGCAGGTGGCGTGACGTGCGGAGGCGGGTGGGGAGAAACGTATCACGAGCGCCGGGCACCAACGACGGTAGCAGCAGGCGGCACGACGTACGGCGTTGGCGGGTGGCGTGACGAGCAAATGTGGGTGCGGAGAAACGTACACGGGCGAACGGGAGCTCGCTATGGGTGAACCGATGAAATGAAATGGAGCGTAGGGAGAAACGTACACAGGCGAACGGGGAGCTCTGCTATGGGTGAACTGATGAAATGAAATGGAGCGTAGGGAGAAACGTACACAGGCGAACGGGGAGCTCTGCTATGGGTGAAGTGGTAAAACAGAAGATACTATGTCGGTTGCCCTAACACCCGTCATCAAAGACACTTTCTATGTCGGGTAAATTATAACCGACATAGAAAGTGAACTTTCCACTTACTATGTCGGTTAAAATTTACCCGACATAGAAAGTTTATGATTTTATTACAAAATTGCCACCGCGCTACATACTATGACGGGTGGATTACGACCGTGATAAAACTCGTCATAAAATGCTATTTTTCCACTAGTGATTTTGTACATAATTTGGCTGATTTTGACATATATATCTATAATTTTATATATAGTAATATATAGTGATTAGCTGAAATATATATACTGTCAATGACTGAGATTATAGCAGGTCGTATACTGTTGGTGGTACTAAAAACAGAGCATTATTTAAAAAAAAAGGGATATTCTACGTCGGTTAATGCAATAACCAACGTTGTAACGAATATACAACGTCGGTTATTGCATTAACCGACGTAGTATATACCTCTCAATGTCGGTCATAGAACTAACCGACGTTGTATATATAACATTCAACGTCGGTTAGTTCAATAACCAACGTAGAATTTACTCATTTCTACGACGGACATTGGTTTAACCGACGTAGATATCTAGCACTTTCAACATCGGGTTTTCTGAACCGACGTAGAATCCTTTAACATTCAACGACGCCTGATTCAACGACGTCATTAGAACCGACATTGAATGCCTTCCTACACCCGACGTTGAAAGATCATTCTGTAGTAGTGTTGATTTATAATATGTTTTTAATGAAAACATATTAAATACAATATTTATGAAGAAAATAATTAACTTAGAAGATACTCTTAGATTAAGAAATAAAACGTAGAATGACATACATCATCAACTTTAAAACTATACCATGATTTTGTCTTTAAAAAATATTTTATGAATTAAGAAATAAAATATATATATATATATATATATATATATATATATATATAAATTATTTTTTGCCTCAATTGAGCGGATTGGAACAATTTCCAGTCCCAAAAATTTGAATGATGAAATTTAAACAAAACCACCATAAATTTAATAAAGTGGTTTTTATTCACTCTCCAAGATCTATTTCATAATCTCTTTCGTCCTACATAAAGCTTGGTTGGTGACAGTGATATGTCCTTTCCTTTCCTATAAATGGACGAGTGTGGGTTCTTGAAACATTCAAAACAAAGCTTCACCACACACTATCTAAATCATCTTATCTCCCTTCAAGTTTGAAGTTAAGCCAAGCATGTCTAAAGTAGCATCATCACTTCCTGTTTTCCCCCAGGATGCCAAACCGAACTCAAACTCCACTCGGCACACTGCAACTTTTCATCCTTCCATTTGGGGAAATTATTTCCTTTCCTATGACACCATTTCTGAAGTAAGTGCATAACCATCCATATGTCTAATCTTCCTTTTTACATTATCTTTCATTTACTTCATCTCAGATTTATTTATATTTAACATTTGTTTTGGAATAATTTTTGTGTAATAATTGTCACTAGTAGGAATCAATACCTACAAATTAAATACTGATACTCCAACCACTAAATTATTATAATATTTCGATAATAACCTACAAATAAATCATATTTATATTTATTTGTGTAAATATATAAATATATAAATATCAAATATATAAATATCAAATATATAACTATAAAATATATAAATATAAAAAATATAAATATAAATATATTTATATATTTAATGGTTGGAGTATCAGTTTTCAATTCTAAAGTATTGGTTCAAATTCTGTCAGAATGTATTTTAATTTGATATAATTTACCTGTGGATAGTAATTTCATAAGTAATTACCTACGAAATTACCCACGGATAACATTATAATATTTGTATGTAATGTACAATTTACCTATGATTTTTATCTGTAGGTAATATTTTGTAAATAATAGTTTTTTTTTTCCTTAGTGCTTGATGATTTAATTGTAGTATTTGATCATTACAGTATAATTTTATAAAAGAAATATATATTCATAAGAATAGTTGATTTACTGTGTGATTGGTGTTAAAGTGTCTGCATCCTAACTTATTTTTGACTTTTGTCAAAATCAACAAAATGTTTCTTATGACTTTTTGTAATCACTTGCAGGAAGATGATAGCGACATCAAGCTTCAACTATTGAAAGAGGATGTGCGGAAGATGATTGTCTCTCCAGTTGATGACACTTTCCTTTTTAAATTAAACTTCATTAACTCAGTCCAACGTTTGGGTGTTTCTTATCATTTTGAACGCGAAATCGATGAAGCACTGCATCAAATTTATGGGATTGCAACGAAGGACAATAACATCGTAAGTCACGATGATGATCTTCATCATCTGGCTTTACTCTTTCGGTTGCTTAGACAACAAGGATATCGTATTTCGTCAGGTATGTCTTTACTAGTACTGCACCAAATTTACGCTGCAACCAAACATTTATACAACTCACCATCATCATCTTCAATTCCTCCTTTGTGTGTACACTTTCCACTACATGTTATAACATCGGATTACATAAGTAAGGTATTGTATCGATGCAGATATAGGATGGCAAAATAAGCGGGTCAGCCCATCCTTAACTTTCCGGAATGATAGATTAGACTGGAAGAGTTAAATTATAGACTAAAATTATTAACCTGTCACTTTATTTTTAGAACAATTGACGGGGCTACCCGTCCAACAAACCATTTGTCATCTATGCAAAAGTATCGTCCAGTCATATTATAATTAAATATATATCTTGAAATTTAACACATGTTTTTTATTAACTAAACAAACAGATGTATTTTGCAAATTCAAGAACGAAACTGGAAACTTTAAGGAAAGCATAGTGAATGATGTACAAGGAATGTTGAGCTTGTATGAGGCAGCCCAAATAAGAATCCATGGAGAAGAGATACTGGAAGAAGCATATAGTTTTACTCTCATTCAGTTAACTCGGTCATTAACCACAAAATTAAGCCCCTTTCTCTCTGGGTTAGTGCACCATAGCTTAGCACAGTCACTTCGCAAGGGAATGCCCAGGTTGGAGGCAAGATATTATATATCTTTCTACCAAGAAGATCCCTCACATAATGAAAGTTTGTTAATCTTTGCAAAACTAGATTTTAATATGTTACAGAAGCTCCATCAAAAAGAAGTCAGCATTGCAACCAAGTAATATTTTCCTCCAAAAGTAACTTCTTATTAAATGAAAAATTAACAAATAAAATGTAACTCTAAGACCTCTTTCAGAAATTAATTTGGGATTTTGTGTTCAGATGGTGGGTTAAAGATTTGAACGTGTCAACAAACTTTCCATTTGTACGAGATAGGATTGTGGAAGGATGCTTCTGGATTATAGGAGTGTACTATGAGCCGCAATACTGTCTTGCCAGAAGGATAATGATGAAAGTAATGGCCATATCATCCATTATTGATGATGTGTATGATTCTTATGGAACCATTGACGAGTTGAAGATTTTCACCAATGCAATAGAGAGGTCAGAAAGTGACTTATACATGGTATCTTTTTACTCTAATTTTTTTTTTTTTTTTTAAAGTTGAATTCAACTATGTAATGAGTAGCAGGTGGGATATCTCCTCGTTGGTTAATCTCCCAGAATATATGAAGTTATGTTATGTGGCACTTTTGGATGTTTTTGAAGAAATACAGCTTGAGCTGAGAAAGGAAGGAAAAGAATACTTCGTCAAGTATGCTGAAAAACAAGTATGGTTAAGTTTTTAAAGGTCTTTATTACTTAATTATTATATTTTGATATAATAGTTCTATTAGTAATTTTTTTCTTGTATCATACTGTATATATGTATACAGACTTATATATATATATATATATATATATATATATGTATACAGACTATATATATATATATATATATATATATATATATATATATAGTACATAATAAATTATTTATTTAAAAAATTATTTTGTAATGAAACCCATAAAAGAAATGTAAAATTTATTTATCTTTCAATAATGTCATAAGTTTGATTTTTTAATATAGGTAAATATACGTATTATTAGGAAAGATAAATAAATATGAGTTGTATACGTATAAACAATTTACTTTAATATACTAAAAATGTGTTATTTATATATGTTTAAATGGGTTGTTTTGTTAGGTTTAAAACAGTCCTATAGGTAATCTAACATATTTTCACCCTTGAGTAACCAAGACCAACTAAAAGTATGAAATAAAAGTCTTATCATATATTTGTATTTTTAATTGTAGATAAAGAGACTAGTCCAAGCATATCTTATTGAGGCAACATGGTTTCATTACAACCACACACCGACAGTGGAGGAGTACATGGAAGTTGCAACTATGTCGTGTGGTTATGCTATGTTGACAGCTGTATCTTTCTTGGGCATGAAAGACACAACAGAGGAGGCCCTCATATGGGCAACGAGTAACCCTAAATTTATTGTAGCTGCTTCAACTATTTGTAGGTTCATGGATGACATTGCTGGAAGTGAGGTACATCTTAGACACCATTGCTATTCACAATTTTCTTATAATTAGTTGTTAGGATTCATGTTGAATTTCTTATGCAATATTGATGCAGTTTGAGCAAGAAAGAGGACACGTTGTCTCAAGCCTTGATTGCTATATGAAGCAACACAATACCTCAAGGCAAAACGCCATTAAAGAACTGCTTAAGTTGATTGAGAGTGCTTGGAAGGACATTAATGAACAATGCCTTAATCCTACTCAACTTCCAATCGCTTTTCTTATGCGTGTTCTGAACCTTACACGCATGATGGATGTGCTTTACAAAGATGAAGATTCTTATACACATTCAGGAGGAATAATGAAGGATTACATCAAAGCTTTACTAGTTAATAACATCCCTATATAAATAAGCTAAAAGCTTTTATCTTTTACATAGTATTGTTGTATTTCTTGAATTTATCTAAAGTTACATGATGCTTTATCTTTAGCTTAATTATCTTGTTTTTTAAAATCTATCAATTAAAAATATTAATCAAAATGCTTTGTTTTTATGAGTAAGTTAGATCCTATATCATTACTCTGTTTATATGAAAACTACTTTATTTTGATGAGTCCAAGCCAAAAATAATTAATCAAAATTATTTCCAAAGGCACGCTTACTTCCTTATAAAATAATAATTTTCGACTTAAATAGAGAAGTAATTGTCAGCCGTTATGAAAAAGTTAATTCAACCATTATCATTGTTAAAAATATCATTATCATACAACTAATTATTGAAGTAAAGGATAAGACAATAATAAAGAAGTTGTGTAAAAGAAAGACTTTGAAGATGAAGTATTATTGAGGTGATTACGACAAAAAAAAAAAAATATATGAAATTTTTTTGTATTTGAATATAGGTTATTTTAATTATATGTCATATCACAAAAATTGGTTTGATTTATCCAAATAGGTGAAAAGATTATATTAAAGATAAAATTTACAAATAATAATTGAATAATTGTAATTAATAATAATTGATTTTGTTAAAATGTTAGGCCTAATTTACTTTTAGTTTTTCTATTATAAATATATGTTTATATTTAATTGATGTATGAATGTGCAAAATGAATACTACGACGTCAACTATTTTTACTTTTTGATGAGACTTCTTTTTATATTCTTTTTCTTTTTCGATATTTTATCTAAAACCTTTTTCACTAACAAATATGAGTATAAAACACTTGAATGATCGAGTTTAAAGTATTTAGAAATCGTTATTAAAAATAAGTTTGAATCTTGATAAGATAAGATCAAACATAAAATATAATTAAAGATAAATTTTAAACTTTAATGGTTGAGTTTGAGTCAACAAAAATATATTAATAATATAATATAATATAAAACTAAAACTATTCTATCAAAAGTTAAGTTCAAATATAAGGATATTTTATTGAGTATTTTTCTTTTCGATTAAAAAAAGACTATCATGTTCAAAATATATGAAAAGATAACATAAGAAAAAAAGAAAAAAAAAATACGAGAGGAATATACTAAAACTCATGGTATATTTATTACAGTGATTATTTAATGGACTTAAAGAGTTATGCCATTTGGATATATGTTAATTGTGGGATTGGTATAATAAGTTTGTTAGATACCATCTTAGATAAATCTCAAATCATGAATATTTCGTTTAAGTGTATAGAAATTTTGAGAATTCTTAACAAATATTACAATTTGTTTGCATAATTATATGATCATTTGCATAAGATTGGTAGTGTCTAACATTTTATATGCATATTTGTATATATATTTGGTTTAAATACGATGTATAGTTTGTTTCTATGTTAAATAGATTTTGAGTGTGATGCATATAAGTATTTGATAAGCATAAAACTTTATCAGCATTTTTATCTATTATATCATGTGGATTTATGCCTGTTTTCTTTTTTTACATAATATAAATATATTTATTATATTTATTATTTTGTGTAAATAATGTTTTTTTTAATATTATCATTATGTATCTGTGTAATCGTTGTCAATAGATAAAAACATTTACTAAGTCAAATCTTAAAAAGATGCATGCGCATCAAAAAGAGAGAAGAAATTTGAAGAAAGTAAAAGGTTTATTTATAATAAAGAAGTAATGTTTTCGAAGTAAAAAGAAAAATACACTTTGTAAAAAATTGAAACGAACAACCAATTAAGCATTTAATGTTTATATATACCGCTACAAACAAGTATTTAATCTCTGGATTAAAAAACTTAACACATCCAAGGATTGTCTGATGAAGAATAGATGAAGACAATAAAATATTAAAGAAAGAAAATAACAAATTATCAACTACTTTAAAACAATCATGAGTGGAGACAATAAGTTAGAAGAAACAAAAATAAAAATAAAAATGTTGTGTATATTACAAAATATTATCTAAACAAATCTTCATTTGGTAGAGTATTTAGCTTAGAATGATTTAGACATTGAGAGCATATATTCTAGACATTAAAAGCTAAGAGATGTGGTAAGGGGTTACCTTGATTGACTTTGTGGTCGAGCTTGGGAAATCCATTGAAAGCACGTCAAAGAAAAGGAAAACAATAGTTGCAAGCTAAGAAAATATCAAGAATGCAGCTCGCTAAAATTCTGCAAGGTTCCTCCTGTAGTGAAGCCAATCCTTGTTGTCCCTGTTTCTTAAAAGCCAACCTCCAATCTCATTTTCCTCGACATTCTTACCTCTACTCCTCAGCTCCTCGTCCTCCTCAGGTTACTTCAATGTAAACTCTGACCCCTGCATCCAATAGTAATCAAGAGGAAAGATTGTTCACTCTAATGAAAAATATCATCCATACCGATATAATAAACACTACTACAAATAAGACTTTAGAACCGACGTTGAAAGTCCTGACTTTCAAATCGAAAATTTTTATTTATTTTCAACCCCTCTCTTTTATATTATATTTTTATGAGGTCTCATCTCTTTTATATTATATTTTTATTATTTATCATATATTTTTGAAGTTTAGAGTATTACCAAATTAATTTTGTCAGCTGACGAGATTGGAACCCAGTACCTTAGTGTTGGAGGCTGATACTCCAACCACTAAACTACTCGAATTTTTTTATAGTAACTTACAAATAAATTATATTTATATACAAATAAATATATATCCGTGTAAATATATAAATATATAAATACAAATATATTTATATATTTTGATATATTTATATAATTATATATTTATATGTTGGATGTGAGGGTACGTTCGATGGTGAAAGTGTATGTTGAGTGGGTTTTCAAAATTTGATGCCAAATTTGTGAGCGAGTCTCTTTATATGGGTTTGTAATTTAATGAAAGAATATAATATTTATAATTTATTTATATAATGATATAAAAAAATTTGGGAAACGCATCATTCGCTCAAGCGAAAAATACTAATTTTCGCTCAAGCGAGGCTTGAGCGAGTGAATTTCTGTGAGTTTTAACGTATTTTCACTCAAGCGAGAGTCAATCTCATTTTCACCCTCGAACGTGCCCTCACATTCAACATATAAATATATAAATATATTTAGATTTATATATTCTATATTTATATATTTACATGGATATATATTTATTTGTATATAAATATAATTTATTTGTAAATTATTATAAAAAAATTATAGTAGTTTAGTGGTTGGAATATCAATTTTCAACTCTAAAATTGAATTACATCAAGTGACAATTCTCTAACTTAAGTGAATTTTTGACTAAAAAAAATTAAAACACTTTCCATAAAATATATATAAATAAATATATATTTACAGAGATATATATTTATTTGTATATAAATATAATTTATTTGTAAGTTATTATCAAAAAATTATAGTAGTTTAGTGATTGGAGTATCAACTTTCAACTCTAAAATACTGGGTTCAAATCCTGTCGAGTGATAATTCTCTAACTTAAGTAAATTTTTGGTTGAAAAAAAATAAAAACACTTTTCGAGAAAATATATATAAATAAATATATATTTACACGGATATATATTTATTTGTATATAAATATAATTTATTTGTAAGTTATTATCGAGAAAATTACGAGTAGTTTAGTGGTTGGAGTATCAACTTTCAATTCTAAAATACTATGTTTGAATCACTGTCAGTGACAATTCTTTAACTTAAGATAATTTTTGGGTAAAAACACATTTAACGTCGGTTCATCTAGAATCGACGTGGAAAGTGTTTTCTACGTCGGTTGACTAAGAACCGAGCGTAGAATGTGTCCAACATTCAACTTTCAACGTCGTTTTTAACCAACCGACGTTGAATATGTATTTAACGTCAGCTCAGCTTTAACTGACGTTAAATGACGACGTTGAAAGCATATTTTGTAGTAGTGAAAATCTCACTAATAATATTATAATATTATGATATGTAAAGAATATAAGTTTTATCTTAAAAAAATATGCAGAAAATGAATATATGAATAAATAATGCATTAATTGACCTTAAGAAAGAATACAACAAGAAAAAGAGAGCATGACAAACAAGAAGAAGAAAGAAGATGACGGGAGAAGGGAAAAAAATACTTATTAAATGAAATACAATATTTATAGGAATAAAGAAATAAAAAAATAAAAAATTTGTTATTGACACTAAGATAAATGAAGAAAGATTCCAAATGTAAACATCCTAGCTTGGTACATTGATGATTAAACACCGGTGCCGTAAAAGCTTTAATATGATAATTAATTTCGATATATATATATATATATATATATATATATATATATATATATATATATATATATATATATATTATCGGTATCAAATAATAAAATATCTTGCTGAATCCTAAACTAGCCTACAAGGAACAAAGTACAACACTAGATTTTTTGGAAGCGGATAAAGACCGTGACCCTCAAAATTTTTTAAGTTTTATATAATGTATGAGTTTGTTCTTTTTAACTTAACGAATGTTTAATATATTTATTTTATATTTATAATTTTATCTTTTTAATTTCTTTTTAATTTTATAATTCTAATTTAATTTATGATTTTGTTTCTTTAAATTTAATGATTATTTAATATATTTAAATATATATTTATAATTTTATCTTTTTATCTTTTCATTTTTTTACTTTATTTTATATTTATTTATTATTTATTAATAATATATTATTTGTTTTATGTAACAACAATCGTGAACCACTACTCACCAACCATTCGGCCAACGTGTAATCACCTTCGCCTATCAAGCTTTGAACCAAATGTCGAATTCATGAAGGTTGTCAAGCGGTGCCTTCGATCCAATCAGCATGAGGTGATGCGTCCAAGTGCTAGATTTGTTTGACATCGTTTGGCGCAACCTTTTGTCGGTATTATCTGATTAAGAAACATAGTACTGCAACCAGGTGGTTCCCGTTTGGTGCCTATAAT